AAAAAAAAAAAAAAAAAAAAAATCACAGCTTGGCTTGTGTGTCCTAATCTGCCCTGCATCCTATGCTGCTAAAACCTTTGCTAGGAAATTACTCCAGAGGCCTGTGGTTCAACATAAATTCTACCAGCAAAGCCAGGGTGAGGTGCACAGCGAGGCCACGCAGTGCATCTGCAGCGCTGGGACGCTCAGCTATGGCTCACAGGTTCTGAAAAGGACCAGGAGAAAAATACTAACCCAAAAAAAGGGAGCACATGCTTCTTCGTAGATGACTCAATTCTGCCAAACACAGTGAGCTGGATTGTGACTTAGTGAGATGCTGGGTCTATTTATTCACCAGGTTTACAGTCAAGTACGTTACTGTTCCCATATTTAACATTGTCGTAAGGAATTTTCAGAGATGATGGTGACAAGACTTCTGCTAGAGAAAAAGATTATTATGCTAAGAAAAGCTTGGTGAACAGCAGCAAATACTTCTATTAACTAAGGTTTTTGACAGTCGTTTAAGAAACGCAAGTATATCTGTACAGACGTGGTACAAACAACAGGAGAAAGTTTGTGTCTTTTTTTTTTTTAAACATGAGAATCATGATAAACAAACAAAATCCAGACACTATTTTAAGCAGCTTTGCAGAAGCATGTGATGATCCGTGTTTTACTTTGGGCATGGGAGATTTAAGTTCACTGTTCCAACAGATCCTGAACTACAGGATGTCTTGCATTGTTTCCAAATAGTTTAGGCTGCAGCAAAACAAGAGGACAGAACAAATTGTTACTACCAAGAACTGGCTGGAACAAGCTATAACAATTTAAGAACTTCCCATCTGAAAAAAAAAATAAATAAAAAAAAATCACCGATTACAAAATGAAAAGCAATGCCCCTACTGGTATTACCCTGGTAATGTAGGGCTTTTTCTAGAAGAAAACATGAATACTGTCATGGATACGCTTCACAAAACTTGATCTCATGAGCCAACAAGGCTGCTGGTTTTGCAGAACTCAAAATAGCAGGCTTTGATTTTGTGTCAGGGGAAAAAATAATAGTGGGAAAGTTGACTTCTTTTTTTCTTCAGATGCCAGCAAACTACAGCAAACTAGTTCATTTGTCTTAATTCTAACAAAGTGCACTGAACCAAAATATTTGTTTGGTACATCTGAACATTGGCTTAATGAGAAACAGGAGAGAGAAGGCAGAGGAAAATGCAGCATATTATTCTATGTCATTAAAACTGCTGTAATATCTACACACAGTTGCTCCACCTGAAGTGCTCCTTATCTACCTTAAGCTTAGCTCAGACTGCCACCACTGGAGGCTCTACAGTGAGAAAGCATGGTCTAACACTGCACATTACAACTTGATTCAGTACCACATGTTGCATTTAAGTATCTGAAGTCCTAGGGAGGCTCATTACCGCCTGCCTTAACATCTCTTGTTTCCAGGATGAATACCCAGACAGCTCCTGATGACCCACAGTCTATGTTAAGATTCCCTATTAAGCTATTTCTGTCTGCAATACATGCCGTTACTGCTTCTGGGCCCCCTTGGGCTGGGGGGTGGCGTAAGGGGGAGCTTATAAGAAGTCCAGATGCTTTTCACAGAATCCCATAAATACTGATTTACCTGACTGCATGTACTTGGCATTTGCATCCTTACACTCTACCCCATAAATAAAGAGCACTGCGAGCAAGACTTGATCCTATTCCTGCTTATCCACTGGTGCTTTCATGCTCTAACTGCATCTACCAGGGTTTCCAGCGCTGGCACGACATGCCACAAACCCACGGAGCAAGCCCAGCTCTGGTATCACCCTCGATAAGCTCTACCCAAACCAGCAGCACTGGGATGGCATCGGGCATACCCCAGTTCCTGCGGGAGTGCGTGTGGAACACATGGGGTTTTCCCCGGAGGTCAGGCACCCCCACCGGCGTAGCTGCCTCATCTTAAACAACAAAAGGCTTTGGCTGAAAAAGAAAAATCCCCATCATTATTATGAAAAGAGAGCCAGGAATTCTCACTAGAGGACAAAATACCAGCAAAAACAGCATTTCAGTTGTTCCCAGTTAATCAATCGTAGACAGCTTATTACATCATCTCAACACAAGATGGGATGTTCTACATTACAAAAGCGTAAGGTATGAACACCCATTGCTCTCAGAACCACCACCTGAGTCATTCAATCATATACAAGCTCCAAAATTTAGAATTAAAGGGGTTGCAGGGAGTTTTAATACTAAATACTATGCAAATGTGCTCTAGTCACACGGCTTCCCGACTGTCATCTTTTTAATTTGTTTTGTTCAAGAAGTCATTAGCAAAGTTTTACATATATAGTTAAAACTAGTCAAGAACAAAATATCAGTGGATTATATTTCATGGCAGAGTAAATGATGACTTAAGTCTATTCAAATTGGAGTATTAGGAAGAAAGGTCCTAGGAAGTTTCCAAAACCCAGCTGTCACTTGGAATGACACAGACCTTTCCAAATGTACCATTAGTATTTGTTCTACCAATTGTTGCACAAAACCACACAGAATTCTCAGATAATCCACCCAAAACCAGAAGCAAGGGTGGCCTCATTTTATAATCTGTACTACACCATCTGACACGAGGGAAGCTGAAATTTGGAGGCACTACTGGCAATGCAGGAATCTCTGTAAAGTTAACAATTCACAGTGTATTTGAATCTCCTCAACTCAGTTGCCACATAAGGTTAGCATTATCTTTTATTATAACCACCAAACATATCATTGCATCTCCTTTACTACAAGAAACCTGCAAAATACACATACAAGGGAATTTTGGAGTAATTAAAGCCAATATAGGAATAGCATGTCAGAGGAACGAAGGACCTAAGCCACATTAGCTTGGCATTCTTCCACGAAGACTCTCATGTTTACCCAACAGCTACAAGTGCTCAGTAACATTCCCGTTCTCCTCAGTGTCTCCTCCCTCACAACTTCATCATCTCCCTTTTTGCTGCTGAGGCTGAAACCTCTGCAATTGCAGCAAAACAAAAATGCATTTTTCTTCACCTGCACTCACATTTTTGCAGTTTTCTCTTTTCTCCTACCCCAGAACCTTTAAAGGAGCAAGGGGAATTGCTTCCCAGAGATATTCTTGTTGATGGGCTTGTGTCTATTGGCTGCATCCAGCCCTGATGTTTCTGGCACTGCTCAAAGCCTCAAAACCAGGCAGGTGACAAACAGCCAAAATCCCAAAGCACACTGCATATAGAATCTGTTCCCCTAAATAAATGTTAGCTTCAGAGATGTTTAATTACAGCAGATTATCTGTTAAATTCACTACCTGCACCACAAATAAATCAGTCTAAAGGAATGCACTGCGAATCGCAGCTCAAGTTTTTTCCTTCAACTTTTGTCCTAATCCTCATACAAACCTGAGCAAATATTAAGATCTTCTTAATTTCCCCACAGTTAAACCAGTAACGCTAGAATCCATTCAACAACAGGGCAAGGTGAGAACAGGTGTAAATGTGGGAATTATCTCAAGGTACACCCCCCACATAATCTGATAGCAAACTAGGAGCCAAATAGCCCAGGTGAAAAATATGGTGCAGAGTATAAATTTTCTCTTAAAATACAACTAAAAGACAAGCAATTGTCACAGAAACAAAGTCATCAAGCTTTTTGATGAAAATTTCATAGAAGTTAAAAAAAATACATTAAAAGGAGACACCAAGTATTTCAAAAACCTCTGTTTTATTTGTACAGAGTAAAATACATCATATAGTGAACATTGTTGTCTACCCATAATCTAAAGCCATTAATAAGTGTTTTCTTTTCACCAAATATTCTGGCCAGAAGCACGGGCAATAGAATGGGAATGCTAATTAGTCTCTCTCTGCCAGAGCTACAAGGTGCACATCAATCTCCGCTTCTGTGAGGATCCTGAAAAAACAAAAGAAATCTTAAATAACTTAAGTGATTCTTCCCCTTAAGCTGCAATATTGCAACCTAATATCTACACAAATAAGTTTTATACAATGCATCTTCCAGCCGTTCAAAACCCTGCTGCCAGGGTCACAGGCCAACATTCCAATTCTTTTTGAAAAGTAACAGAAGAATCAAGGCTCTAGAGAGGCAACAAATGGTACAAAAAGAACACACAATTCCTCGTGAGTAATACGCTTGCAAGCTGGGACTTAGTGGGAAACATGGGTACTCAAAGGTTTGAAGCCTCTCTCCAAACCCCACCTACCAAGTAGATAAACTAAAGCAGTAGAGGACCTCTTTGCCACCTAGCTGTCATTGTCTTTTTTTTTTTTTTTTAATTTAAAAAAAAACAACAAACAAAACCAATGAAAGCCTAAGGCAGAAACAGTTGAACTCCTCTGCAGCAAGCCAGTCTTATCTAAACTCTAGGTAGAGAGTCCTTTTGCATTAACAAAAAAGCTCTAAAACTTATTCTCTCACATTTCATGCATACTTCCACAGCTGTACACGGTGCTGGGAGAAGGCTGCCAAGGACACTGTATCTGACGTGAGGTACAGCCCTCTCTAGGAAGATTTCCAAGTGTTGCCTCGAAAGATTGACCACGTCACCTTGCAGTGCACTGCACCCATATTCAAGCAATGAATGGCAAGGGAGGAAATTGCAGGTGTCTTGCTTTCATGCTGGGCGGGAATGCAGCGTACTTGGAAAGTAAGAGTTCAGCCTGTTCCAAATCACTGCAGTAATTTTTAAATCCAGGACCTTTTCATCTTGTCAAATTTAAATAGAATATTTCAAATCATACAAATTCATACTCTATTATCTATATACTGGAGATGTTAAAAGCTGCTACAATTACAAGACGAACAAGCATAATTTAAAGATCCCATTTAGAAAAGGATTACAAAAAATTAAGGGATCTGCAAAATTTTCCCTAATAGAAAATAGACTTTACAGAATTACTTGTCATGACTATGATTTGGAAGTGGACCCCAGATACTACCACAAAGAAAAATTTTAATTCTTTTTAAGCATGAAAAAATCACCTAGAGCATATATAACTATGTTTTAATCACATAAAGCAATACCCTTTTAAGAAACAAAAGGCAACACTTTACTGGATCTCTTAACCATGTAAAACACTTTAAAACTGTTATTATTTTTTAAAACAATGTCTTTTACCCCTAAACATTTTGAAGAGTTACAAGTAAAAAAAAAAAACAACAACCTCCAAAACTTCAACTTCTGACATTTATCTCTTTTTCTCTATTTACCATTACACAAGAAGTTAAAACTAATTGCACATACCCAGAGAAACACACCAAGTTTTATTAACACTGATCACTTACCTGAATTTAGGATTTTCCACTGTAACTACACCAACTTCTATTTCTGAAGGTTTGAAATCAATGGATAGTACAGTAGACAGGCATGTTATTGCTGTCTGAAACATGACAAAAAAACCCTATCATTAAACAGAAAGCACTAAGGCACTTTTTTTTTTAATAGATATAGCATTAACAACTACCCTTCCTTCTAGTTTTCAGTTATTTCCCTCCACATCAAAACCTCAGCTGAAAAGTTTCAAATAGTTTCCCTCTGTTACAGAATACAGTCCCTCTCTAGTCCTCTCCCTAAAAAGCCCAATCTACAAAAAACCAAGGGACATGTCATTTTCGTAGCAGAAGAAAAAAACAACAAACCACAAGAAAACCAAAACCTTTTACTACGCAAAGATTAAAACCCCAGGTCCCAAGGACAGAACGTGCTTCACTAGTGGCAAACAAGACAGACATCATCATTACAGTCCAAGATTACTCAAAGCACATTCCACTTGCGTAGCTTCCATTTTGGCTTTTCTTCTGGTAATTAAGATTACATTGGCTGTTTTTTAAAGGCTGCATTTCATCATGGCTTAACTCTTTTTTCCACCCTAATCATTACCCGTTTTAAGAAGCTTTCTTTGCAACCTCGCTCATACTTAATAACCCTGAAGTTTGGTCATAATAATGCTAAAGATGTATTCCTAAAATGATGATTCGATGCAAAAAGAAGTTCCATAAAACAGCTCTGTAGCTAAATGCTAATCAAATCAGTTACTCTGACGTGCTGGCATTTAACTCTGATCAATAATGCCTTAAGAAGTGTAGAACACCAGACAGAATCAATTATCAACATATTGAAAATAATTCTGTAAGACTATATAGATATCTTATCAGAAGACTGCCAAGTTGTAAAAATCAAAACAAAACAAAAACCAGGTGTAACAACTGGTGTTATATTTAATAAAATGACAGAGAAGCACTACCCTGTTCTGTTTGAAATGTTTTCTAACATGAAGAATGTTTTAAGTGCCACTAAAAGAAAATTGTACTGGTATCCCAGAATCAAGCACTACAGTAATCAACCACCAGCTACAGTGGGAGTGCTACAATGATAGATTCTGCTTCAGCTATGGTAAAACACAAAAAGCAGATAGGATGACTACTTAAACATTTGCAAAATACCTTCAAAATATTTTCTGGTTGGAATAGCTGTACTTGCTCTGGCAGCAATACAGAACTGTAAGAAAACATGAAATGTCTAACTGCATTCCTCCCCATCGCAAGCCTACATACAGCATATTCATTCAAAATATTTGAATAAACCTTTATAACAACTGCATTTATAACTTTATAAAAAATCTTTTAGCTGGCCTACCTCTACTGTTTGTTCGTATGTCCAATCAAATTTCTTCTTTACTTTCTTTTCAAGAAAACTGGTTGACTCTGTCTGTTTAACTCCTGCTGCCGTGGCCTTGAATCCACAATAGTAACCTGCTGGATCACACTTGTATACCTGAGGGCCGTGCTCTTCATCAATACCAATCAAAATCATACCTTGAAGAGAAAATTTGTTAATTTATTTCTTTCCCCAATTTTAGCAATTTCATTTAACTAAAGAACTGAATAATACTCCCTATGAAAAACTGCACAGCAGTACATTTTTAGGAACGAGTCCAATACCTAGAGCTGTGATTTCCTCTTTATCTCTAATTTGCCATCAGCATCTCATTACCAGGTGTGCAACTCAGTTTAGTTCAAACTACATTTCTCTAATTCCCAAAGAAGCCTCTCATTAAACGTAGAAACATTTTTGCCATGCTCAGTGTGTAGAGAACCACAAAGTCAGGAAATCCAAAATTATTAATCCTAATACAAAGTTAAAGCAGCCACAGTTCACTTCCTGTGTATTGTATGACACTTTAAAAAAGTGTAAGCAATAGGCGTATTAACACGTGCCTTTTACCACAAAGCAACTCCACAAGTACGTTGAAATTAATGGAAACATTAAAAGATCAACTTTAGATTCCTCGACTCTAATCCTGAACAGCACTGCACTTCATCCCTTTTCCTCTTTTAAGGAAAAAAAATAATCTGAAATTAAATGTGGAAATATCAGAACTTTAAACTGAGTCTTTGAAGACAATTTGAATAAATACTTTCAAGTTGGACAGCCTTCAAGTAACACAAACTAATCACATCACTGAAATGCATCTGTGTTCACCCACACCTCTGGAGAGAGTTGTATACAGTTGTGCAGTCTCAATACATGTATTAAAAATAACTCGAAAGCAATACTTGCCAAAAACCCCAAAACAGAACAAGGTCAAGGTTTCAAATTATTTTTGTTTTACACTTGCGTAACTTTTAACTAAGAATTATAGCTGATAAGCTTCTGAGCAGCTACTGCTACAACAGAAAAAAATTTCCCACCATCTCTTCAAAAAAAGGTTAAGGAAAGTTAAGAAAAATTTTTATTCATGTATTAAAAAAAAAACCAAAACAACAATCACTTTCCAGTAGTATCAAGGCATGGGAAATGCCAAAGGAAGAAAGAAACGATCATTCCTGAACATTACAAGCATAGGAAAATTGCCCCATCATGGAAACTCTGGTGCAACACTGAACGTTACTTCTTTAATGAGAAGTGCTAGTGCCTACTGTGATTACGAGAAGTGATTCATCAGTTCTGAAACTATTCTCCTTAAAAAAAAACAACAAAAAACCAAAACCCAAGTAAACAGAAAGAACCCCAGACAGAATGTTCAATGAAAAAGTAATTGAGGAAACATTGTCTTTTATCTCAGTTCCCGGACAGCCCAATAGTATGGTTATAACTTGCTCACAGCCAAATGTAAGAGAAAAAACAAGTCAGAACCAATCTCAGAACACGCAGATGGCCAGGAATATCTACAAAAACAACTTTACACACATCTTTTTTTTTTTTTATTTAAGATGCATTTGCTATTCTAAAACAAGACTGGAGTAGAAATGTGTGCAAGTGAAGTATTTTCAAGCACCACTTCTCTACATTATATATATCATGGTTAAGAGCAAAAACTATGCAGATTTTTATCCTATACATACTACTTACATAAAAAAGCCACAAAATCTGCACAAGTGTAATTGCACTCTCCGTATGTCTAATGGTGATTATCTACCCAGAGACACCAGTAAAAAGAGCACCTCCCGTGCACAGACATCACTGTGCTGTGCAAACAGACTGGGCTCCAATAACTATAGTGAAATAGTATCACACATTTTGGAGAGGCTGTATCATTTACTCCAATTCAAATGCTGAGTCAATGGTACAGTCATCACCCCAATTCAAAACCTCCAACACCGCTCTCCCATTTGGCTGCTCATCCCTCTTACTCCTTCAGTTACCTCCGTGTCTCGCACAATTTGAAAATGAGTGAGAATTTCTTAGACTTGAAGTTGCAAGCTTAGACAAGAAACAGAAGAGATTAAATTCCATCCCCTATACTTACAGCAACCAAGAGGCCTCATTTCAGCATTTTGCGTATAGACCTGAGAAATATCTGCAATCCTTTTACACAGCATGTCCACAGGGATGTCATAGCCATACTTGTACTTCCAGTTGGCAGCCTCGTAGCGGGCTCTCTGCACCTGGGATCTGCTGTCAGCTAGACAGAGAGAACTCGTATTAATTTCACTCAACACGTATCACGTTAATTCCTCGCGTTGCTTGAGAATGAGAATTCCAGGCTCAACTTTAAGTCGTCTTTAAATATACATATTAGAACTAGACAAGTTCTCCAAGACCAGACTGAGTAGACCAAATCTCCTAGAGCACTTATTTTTTTTTACATGATACAAACCTGGTGAACTATACTAAGAAATTGACACACTTTAGATAAAGACGGTGAATTAAATACCTGTCATTCCTGTCATCACACAGCCAATATTTTCAGTAATTCTGAATAAATGAGTCACTGTGTTGGAATCCAGTAACTTGTCCTAAAGAGGAAATAAAAGTAAACTAATAGAAAACACTGTTCTTCAAGTACAAAAAAGACAGACTCCGGATATTCTGCTATTTACAGAAGGGCCCCAACCCCCCCCGCGCAAAATAATCAACTAACAGCTCAAAATTGTCTTTCAGGCTTTCTACTATTTATTACTATAGGCTCATGAAGGAAGAAATAGGAGAATGAGGAAGATAAAATCCTCAATATCTGGAAAAGGCTGACAGCTAAAGCTTGACCAATATCAAAGTCCTTTTCTCTCAAGAAATTTTGACAGTAAGACGTACAAATACTTGTGCCCTTATTGCATGCTGCCCTTCAAGCATAAGGGCTTTCCCCCCTTGTCAACACCACACCACCACTGCGCTGAAATACCATGAAAATCTCTTCTGCGTGCTACTGGTATAATATTTTCTCTGAGTAGGATTTAAAGAAATGGGGAAACTGACTATGGACAACTCAGCCCTTACAAGCCAGAGTACAGAAGGCCCAATTCCACATTTTAGCTTTAACCCTTCAACAGCTATAAAGAAAGCCAATATTACAGTACGTGGTGAGGAAACATACAGTTGAGCACTAAATGGAGCTAGAACTTGTAATAAGCAGAACTCTAATATGACATTAAATTCAAGTTGCAATATATGTTAATGCTAATAAATATAATATCGATGTTGCACAGCCTCACCCCCATCTTTCATCTCCTTCCAGCCTCCCCCTCAAAACCAGACTACTTACAGGTACTTTCTTCTGTGTTACAATTACTGCAGAATCTTTCCCACGAACAGCTACAGATGTAAGTCCGCCCTGGTTTATGGCCTTAAAAGCATATTCTAGAAAAATATGTAGAAGTTAATAAAAAACAGCGTTAGAGGTTTTAGCACAAATAACTCTGACACACTTCCCCCCCAGCACAGAAGTATCACCAAGTTCAGGACTTTTTAATACTTTAGTATTTGTGCACTACTTTGTGTCTTTAAGGTATTAAGTACAATGCACACAAGAACTTTCTAAAGGGAATTAAGTAATTGACTCTTGTCACAAAACCACTATCACTCCATCCTTTCAATATTTCTAATAATTTGTGGTTTTGCTCAGTTAGAATACTTAACAGCAACAGAATTTCTCTTAAAACAAAAAGGCTGTTCTGCACTTGACCAAAACAGTCCAAACTTAACCTACAGTAACTGTAAATCCTTACAGAAGACTTTTTAACATGCAGAATTTAGTAATTCAAGCATTGATACCATTGCAAGGATGTAATTTTGTTTTGCAGATTTTAACTGATGCAGATGAAAACTCTAAGAGGAAATGGACACAAACTTGAATATAAGAAGTTCCACCTACACATGAGGAGGAACTTCTTTACTTTGAGGGTGGCAGAGCACTGGAACAGGCTGCCCTGAGAGGTGGTGGAGTCTTCTTCTCTGGAGACATTCAAAACCCGCCTGGACATGTTCCTGTGCAACCTGCTCTAGGTGGACCTGCTCTGGTGGGGGGGGTTGGACTAGAGGATCTCCAGAGGTCCCTTCCAACCCCATATCATTCTGTGATTCTGTGACCAGGTACAGAAGATTGGTTTTAACCTTACTATCACATTTTCTGACTTGATTTTCAAACGCTGCAATGCTTTTATTCACTTTTTAAAATGAAACCTATGCACATGCCAGCTAAACAGCATTATTTGGATACATACAATGGATTAAGATTTACTTGATATAATCCATGAAATAAATTTCCTTTGATTAATGGTTTGAAAGGCCTCAGGAACAATTTTACAAATTGTTTGTCTGACAAGATATGATAAACATTCAGAACTCCCTAATATCTGGTAAGGAGAGGCAAGTTTCAGGCAGTAGCTAAACGTAGACCTGTGTGGATGAAAATGGAATTTAGAACCTGTCTAACCAACAGCACAGCAAATTGCTAAAACTGCCTTATGAAATAATGGGAGCAATAAACTCAGCTGTCTTTAAAAGCTGCATTCGGATCTACGAAGCGACTGCACAACAAGAGAGGAATAATCTGAAAATGAAAAAACAACTCTTGCAATACCAGGATCTTGATGTTCAATCTGCTGAGTCAGTGCTGTGGAAGGGCTCATTGCCACACGTGTACGGCAACCTATTTATTACTGGCAGGCATCAGAGCATTTACTGGTTACCCAAACATGCCATAAGACTGCTGCCCCTTTCTCTCCACTAGATGCACAACTTGGCTCACCTCTTCACCTGCCTCCCCTGGGATGATCAGTGCCCGCCAACAGCAAAGCACACAATCTGGTGAGATGTCAGCCAGCACTGCCCACAAACTGCTCATATTTAAAGCCCCAGGCCGGGACTCTGCAACACTTGATTATTTACATGTACAAATAACTGAAAGGAGGGTGTAAAGACGATGGACAGAGCCAGGCTCTTTTCAGCGGTGCCCAGTGACAGGACCAGAGGCAACGGGCACAACCTGAAACACAGGAGGGTCCATCTGAATAGAGGAAACACTTTTTGTCTGTGAGGATGACCGAGCACTGGCACAGGTTGCCTGGAGAAGTTGTGGAGTCTCCATTCTTGGGATATTCAAAACCCATGTGGACATGGTCCTTGGCAACCAGCTCTAGGTGGACCTGCCTGAGCCCTCTGGGGTTGGACGAGATGATCTACAGAGGTCCCTTCCAACCTCAAGCATTCTCCCACTAGGTGGGAGCAAGAATAGGTGCCCTCACAAACTGTTTTTGCTCACAAGTACTGACAACAAGGCTCGTTGAATTGCAGTCTCTTCTGGCCCTGTTCCTACTACCATCTGCATTGCTCAGCTTTCAAAGAGACAAGCCAAAAGGTGAAGTGGCTCTTACAGTATAACAAATCCAAATTGCTAGTGGTGTTTCAAGTCTATTTTCTGCTATGCAAGTATTTCAGTAGTACTGCACAGGTTCTTTCTGAAAACACCAGTCCCTTGCTGTTCCCTGAAAGCATCACAACAGTGAGAAATTTAACCATAATATATTTCTTTACCTCCCAAAATTCCACTCAGATAAAACATCACCTTTGATGACTGAAACTAATGTGTGACAAGACAACATTGATGCTTTGAGGGATTTTAACCACAGCATCAAGAAATAACGTATGAAATAACTGTTACTTTTCTAATATGAAATCACGTCAAGAGTACATAAGCTTTTTGAGCTTTGGAAGCACCAGACAGACATGAGGCAAAGCACAGGCATTTCAGTCCAGTATCACTATGCTGGAAATTTCTGTTCAGATACTGCCAGCTTCTAGAAAAAAAACTCAAGTTTTGAGGCAGCCTTAAAGCAATGTGTGTCCATGCCCACTCTTGACAGCACCTCGTTAATCCAAATCCAGCACATGGACAAGGATGTTCAGGATTAAGAAAGAAAGAAGTTAGATTTGGGTATTTGACCACAAGCAAACATGAGCTTTCTGCCCATGCTGTGGCAACAGAGACACTAATGTGACACCATGCCCAAGTTATCAGCCTGGCTGCAGACAGACTGAGCTCATACTTGCCTGAAGTTAACTACACACACTTACAGATTTTTCTCCCCACAGCATACAGGTACTCAAAATATCTTTAAAACAGCTTGAGGCTGCGTGCGGAGGCTCTCGAATACACATGCAGGTACTTGCTTCTAAGACAGGGATGAAAGATATGGAGGTACTGTGCATTTCTCACACATTAACCTAAAGGCTGAATATACCCAGGAGGTAGAAAACCAAGGCTTGGCTTCCTCTTTGCTAAAGGACGCAGAAACCATTCCCAACAAGCAGTGCTACAGTAGTGCCAGAAAGGTGATGCAGACCAACCAGCCTGTTCTAATGGCAACAGAAGGTCACAGCCCATGACTCTTCCATCACACAACCACTGGTACCCCGTGTGAGGAAGTGCTGTTCCTCCCACTCATACGTATAAGGCTTACTACGCAAGTTGCACAGAAGCCTTATACACACTCCAAATATAAGACAGCACCCGTTTGTAGGTATCTAGTACAGGTAACTTTCTACCTGTGCATAGACACCTACACACAGGAACTTTCTTAGTTGCTCCTTGGAGAAAGGACTTGGCTGAAGACTGAGCTGCCTGCCTATGAAGCCTATTCCTTACAGCCGTCTTCCTGAGAAAAACTCAAGAGCAGACACAAAAGAAACTGCTGGCTACCATGGACAATTCATGCAGTCTGGCCCCAGCAACCTCCCTTCCTGGAGAACAGAGGGACATAAGGATATTCTGTGTGATGCATGTGCAGTGAAGTCACTGCAGCTGGGGAAGAACCCCTACGATCTGGGGGAAAATGGCATCAGGATGATGCTATCAAAACAATTCACCCTTATGTGAGGATCCTCCAGGAGCACTCTCAATGAACTGTCCTGCCAGACTGCAAGCTGACTATGCTGTTACAGAGTATTTCACAGAAGGAGCACCATGAGGCTGTTCTGCAGAATGTGATGCACTGTAAAAATATGAACAAAAGACTCAGAAGATGATGGAGCTAGGCTGCAGCTTAATTGCAGAATGTTCAAAGATGCCTGGCAATGGAAGGATGGCTGCTGCTCTCACCAGCCATGATGTACAGAACACACAGCATTCAAGTGTAACAAAAGAGAGCATGGGTTATCTCTAAAAACTGACTCTGTTACTCAGGCATGCAGGGTTTGAGGCAGCTCAAGTCCCATTTCAAACAGCTCTTGTTGTTCTCAGATTCCAAAATACAATGGTGATAAGCCTGGCACGATAAACCGAAAGAAACACCCCAGAGGGGAATAAAGAGTTTCTGGGTAGCTGTCGGTTTGGTCTCCGAGCATCCGAAATCAGACACTGGGAAATCGCAGGAGGTGCCTCCCGGTGTCAGGGGACACTCGGGAGGGCCCGTCCCGGCCCCGAGCTTTCCTCCTCTCACGCCGGGATTCCCTTCCCAGCCCCCACGCCCGCACGGCCGGGACGGCGGCTGCTCCGGCTTCTCCCCGCGCACCGACGGGCCGGGCACGGCGGGGACCGAGACTCCCCGGCCACGGGAAACACCACGCTTCCCCACCTCCCGCAGGGGGAACCAGGCTCGGCGGAGGTTTCCCCAGCCGGCTGCAGCCCCGCTCGGCGGGAAACGGCGGCGGCAGCGTGCGAAGGCCCGGCCCGTGACGGGGCAATTCGGCGGGCAGCATCTCCCGAGGCCGGACACCCACCGACTTGGTAGAGGCGGCCCTCGGGCGAGAAGATGGTGATGTGGCGGTCGAAGCCGGCGCTGGAGCCTCGGGACATGGTGGGCGCGGGGAGGGAGAGCGAGGGGCGGCACGGCCGAGGGGCTCACAGCGCGCAGGGCCCCACCGCCACCGCAGCCAGGCCTCCCGCCGGAGCACTTCCGGGGCACGCGCCGCTCGCGCAGCGTCACGCTCCAGCCCCGCCACTGCGCATGCGCGAGCGCCCCGCCGCCTCTCCGCTCCCCGGGCCGCTCCTCTCCGCGCATGCGCAGCGCGGACACCCGGCGTGTGGGGACACGGAGAATCCTAAAACACGGGGGAAAAACGTCACGGAGGGCTGCAGAGGGACACACCACCCCTCCGGGCTGCCCGAACAGAGCGGTCCCACCCGCCCTCAGCAGCGCCTGTAACTGCCAAGCGAGAGAAATGCCCTGCCCTGGAGGGAGGCGCGTCAGGCCCTCACCGGGAGCGGCGCCGCCGCCGCCTCCTGAGGGGAGGGTTGGATTGGGGCACCGTCAGCTTCTTACCGGTGTCCGGCACAAAGGGGAATCCCCCCAGTTTACACCGGTGAATTGGTGCTCTCTCTGTCTCCCAGCGTCGTGGATTTCCCCTACTCCTTGGGGGAAGGCTTTTTTTTTTTTTTTTTTTAAGGTCAGGTCATTAAAAGAGTTGGAAAAGCTGTGTTTTGGGATCCACGCCTCTATTTTAAAAGCTAATTATTAGCTGAGCCGACTTCTTGTTGGAATGGCAGGGGACGGGTGCATTTTGTGTGCGCCCCATACATAAAAATGCATTTCTTGCATTTTTCCACATAGTCTCCCTCGCTGATTAGCACCATGGGAGAACAAAATGTCTCGCTGTGGGTCACAGGTTTGTCCCCTCTGCTGGGGAAGGATGCTGTGGGCAGAGGTGACCCGTCCAAAGCTGCAGCACATGTGCTGGCACCCAGCGAGCTCAGGAACGGAGGAACATCTCTGCTGGTGGGACCCACAACCTGCCCAGCCCTGCACCCCGGCTCCAGCTCTGCCCAAAACAACCACAGAATCGCATGGGGTTGGAAGGGACCTCTGGAGATCATCTAGTCCAAACCACCTCCCCCCCCCGCCCCAGAGCAGGTCCACCCAGAGCAGGTTGCACAGGAACATGTCCAGGCGGGTTTTGAATGTCTCCAGAGAAGACTCCACCACCTCTCTGGGCAGCCTGTTCCAGGGCTTTGCCAACCTCAAAGTAAAGAAGTTCCTCCTCATGTGTAGGTGGAACTTCTTATATTCAAGTTTGTGCCCATTTCCTCTTGTCCTATCCCTTCCCTTTCTACTGAAAAAAGACTGGCCGAAACCGAAGTTCTAGGTTACCTTAAGAGGTATCCAGCTCCTCTACCTTTTCTGCACGGTACCTGAAGGACACGACTGCGTGCAAATCACACCTGCTTGTTCACAAACCAGGAGTAGAAAAAGTGTCAGGATAGCTCTCTGGTGTGACAAAAAGTAGCAGAGAACATGTTTGACTGCTAAGAGTCCTGAGGGAGCTTGTCATGGGACACTGCAGAAGCTCAGAACTGCAAATACTACACAAAAAGATCTGTATGATTCAGCTCAGTTTCAAACTGAGGATTTCTCAGTGTGCAAGACAAATGTGATAAAAACACGATCTTTCATCTGAGATTAATGTGGCATTTCCATGTTTTTGGGGGGAGAAAAGTTTGCATTAAAGTGGTAAATGCAATAAATGAACACATTTACCATAAAAACACTTATAAATAATAACTTAGAAAACTTTTCCTGTAATATACACTATATTTCTTGCTTTATTTATAAATTGTGACAGGTTTTATAAAAATCTCTGTGCAAAACTGCCTGTAAGAATTTCTAGTTATGATCATTTTTTCTTTAGAAAATTCATGCATTTCCATAAGCAAACTATTCTAGTGACATGAAACCCTGTCAGAAGCAGCAAACTGGAAAGTGTGAAAGAGCCACACAATATCCCACTGGTTGTTTCCTAATTCTTCCAATCAAAACCTCGATACGTGTTGCTACAACAAATCTTTCACATTCTATGTGATCAAATGAATTCTCTTTGGTGTGAGGAAGTATTAGGGATATGTGTGTCTGGCAAATGGTAAATATACCATTTATTGCTCCATTTATTGCCTATGAACATTGTGTGACACGTATTTTGTGACACGCAATGTGGGCAAGGTCAGCTGTGCCCATTTTGAAGGCACTTTGGAAGTCCTACTTAATTTCTTTGAAGTACAGAGTTTATGGATTCCAGTGTAGATGAAAAGCCTGAGGAAAAAAAAAAATTAAAAAAACACAACCTGAAATTCCAAGAGGGAAAAACAAGTTTTAATTCAAATCACATTGAGAGGCCACAGAAATTGCCTGTAAAGATGGAAATAATGGACCTAATTCATCCCTGCTGGACCACCACTGATGGGAACAGATTCACTGCAGGAACGATTTTGACAAAAAGTAGTTACTGAACTTTCTTTAGTTATAGGCCTCACACATTAATCCTGTAATTGTACTGCTGAGTTCTCCTAGTCAGCAACAGTGATTAAAATAAAAAAAAAAGCTTGTACAATTACATATTTCATCGTTGCTGTTGAATACAGAGCCATTTTCTTGGTACTCGATATGAGTATTTTTCCTCAAACAAGTCTTTATAGGGGATATGCCATGTATCTCCTGTAGTCTGTACCACACAGTCATAACTGAAAGCAGGCTGTTGGATAAAAACAGATAAAAACATTTTTTTAGACTTTACACAATATATTACTAAAATACCACTTATAGGTGGTTATGACTTCCAACGCTCCATTAGAAATCTCTATAGATTCATTCCTTTAACAACTCTCATTTATTTCCTTAGACCAAACAAATTCTAAATCTTAGTACTGGAGGAAAAACTAAAACATCTTTTAGTATTTTTGTGGTCTAGGAGTCATTACAAATGTTAAAATTATGTCTTTAATCACCTCCAGATAATAATGACTTGAACATAATGCATTCTATATCTAGAAATAGCAAAATGGTTGTTTTTTCATTCAGTTAAACGAAATCATACGGGAATTAACTCAGGATGTGGAGTTTATAGGCTTGAACTGATAGGATTTAATGACATCTTGTGTTTGTTCTTCCAGTGTACCTCTTTACAGAACCAAATTGCTTGGATGGAGGAGGATATAAGAAAAGGGTTTATTGCTAACACTTTGAAGAGTGCGTAGTTGAACAAATATAATAAACTATTTTACTGGTCTATTATGTTACAGGAATACTAACTCAACATGTGTAACAGAAGTGCAAAGTGGCAATTACAGTTCTCAGAACATACAGTCACTCTGTATGTATAGTCTTGGAAGTCCACTTTTCCGTGACAGTTTCCAGAGTAACCTAGAAGACAGCTGTGACTGGGAATGTCAATCATCCACATCAGTTGTACGGGAATTAAGATGCGAAAATTACTCACCCTTTTTGACAAAAGAAAGAAACAAGGCACAGCTAAAGCTGTGTTACTCAGGTAACCCTACATTCAGCATTCGGTTCCATAAAAAGAAACGTATATATGGCAGCAGTGAATCAAAGGCTGGCATTCTTACAAGCCTGTATCTCTATGTTGTTTGCAATGATTAATATTATTTTACAATTTTAACCAGAGAAACAAGAAAATGAATCTGCATAGGTGCAGTATCGCTTTAAGTGGGCACTAACGATGCAGACAGACCAGATAACAAAAAACTGTATGATATGGGATGTCATGTGATAAATAACTGAAATACCTGTATTTTCCTGCTTCTTTAAAATAAAGATGAGAGAAATTCTATTATACAATTAGAAGCATGTTACCTTATAAAAGTGCTACAGAGGAGAGTAAGGTATTTCAAAGTTTAAAATAAATGAAAAAGTATTGGCACTTTTACAGCAATGGAAAGATTTGTATACACAAACATGCATTTACATTTTAAACAGTTAGGCAACATTTCTTGTCTTTTTGACAGCTTTTATGTTTGGGCTATGCTTTGTGAATACAGTGAATTTTCAGTAAGCATGGGAGTTTTGAAGCCGCTGGTACAAACCCAATTCTTAGACTCCAACAACAATCTCTTTGCTTCCAGAGTTTGAAATTGTGTACTTTCATGAATATGCTCTGTGCAGAAAACTTACCGTAAAATGGATGTGCTTTCCTTCTGCAGAAGGGGAAAACACTATTTGGTGTCCCCGCTGCCACTTACGGAACAGCTGCCGCGTGAGACTGTCGGACAGACAAGCCTTGTGATCCCGGAGGAAGTCTCTAGTAACAAACTTGCAGTGCTGGCCTGACCGAAGAGTGGCGTATAACAAGAAGGCATCATCTTCAGAGCTGAACAAAACAATGGGAAAGACAGACGTCATTCACAGGACAGTAAGTGGCTGCAGGAAATGAATCAAATGCTGATCTGAGATTTATTCATCAACAACACTGAAAATTCTCGTCGCTACTCGAGTTCGCTGGTCAAATAAAAAACTCCTGTTTACTCACCAAAAGTTAAGAGTGCAATAAAAATTAACTGCACGCTACACCGAGCATCTTTCCTCCTATCACAATCTGATAATACAACAATATAATCTCTTGCCACATAACTTAACAGTGCTATGTGGAAGAGAAGTGCTAATACTCATAAGGGTACCTCCAAAACTTTGTTGGAATACAGTCAATCATCACAACTGATAACAGTGTAATATAGGCAACAGCACAATTCTGTGAATCTTTGTCTTTACATGGGTAAATATACTTCCAAAAGGTACTATGATTATTTGGAAAATATATTCAATATTAGCTGCTATTAAACTGAGAAAATTTTAGGGAAAAATCTCTAAAATACATTTATAGTGGGCATGAAATACCCTATACCTGGAGAAACTGAGCAGAACTTTGCTTGAAAGCACTTTTGGATTGCTGTGGATTACTGTAATGCTAAGTGAAGAGACAGGAAATCGGCGAGGATTTCCAGCTCGAGGTAAGAGAGTCCCCTTTGCTGGTGCTCCAATAGCAGGAAAGAAAGCAACGTGATTCAACAGCAAAGAGAACAAGAGCCAGAACTGGAGAGGGGATGAAGGAGAACAGATCTGAAACAAGGAGCCAGACAGAAAAGACTTGGACTAGCTGTTGGGATGAGGAACTTGGTCAGAAGTTCT